TATTGACCGTTTCGTAAGCCTCTCTTGCTACCTAAAAGAAAAATTGTTTTAATATGGCGGCATACTAATTGAAAACTCGTGCAAGTTTGAGTGGTTCTCTGACTCATTTTCTCCTGTGTGTTTATCTGGCTTTCTCCAGGTCCTCAGGTTATTCTCGGTCTCACCAAAAACTAACCTTTAGTTAGTTGAGCACTTGTAACTACTTGTATCAGCCACGACCGAGGATTTGTTAGGAACCATTTCTGACAACAATGTTCAGGAGGGGTGGGCAGGACGAGTAAACATTCAAACAACATCAAGATATTTGTGAATGAAGAATATTACAACCTTTATATCTTTGGTCCAGAATGTCTGAGTAGCATTAGAGCTAGATGCTTTTGGTGCAACCTCTTTAATCTGCCAATAAATAAAACATCTGTGATTGTTATATGTAGATGGATTTAACCATGCATGCATTATCGTGAATACAGCTTTTGCTGGTGGTCAACCAATGAGGAAATAATTCCAGTTGAGTCGAGTTCAGTCAGTACACATTATATAAAAAACTCAATTCATGAGGAAAAGACAAAGGAAATCACTGCTGTGTCGATGGTTTTATATGTGATAAAAAATCATGTTTGTTTATACAAACTTTAGATTTGATTTTCTCGGCAACGTATTACTTCGCCAATATGGCAATTAATTCTTTAGATGGGTCGTTTTTTAAGCCATTTAAAATGCTTGCAGTTCGTGCTTTATCAGATGTTTTATGTCTGATAAAGCACTCCTGCTCAGCGTGTTTTAAATATTGTACTTCAAAAACTCATTAATAAATAATTCATGAGGAAAACACAAAGAAAAATTATAAATGTCGTATAGATAGAGATTTTACCCTCGATTTACATTACATAAACATTAACTTTGATTTTCTCGACTTACAAACGTGTTTTTTGAAAATTACTTCGCCAATGAACCGGTACTAGATCGTTTTTGAAGCAATTTAAAACATTCGCATGCAGTTTGTGTCATTATCAGACCTAAACCTAAAACTCGCCTTCGCCTCGTATCTTTATATCTGATAAAACACATGCTGCTCATGTTTCAAATAGTGACGCAGTAGTCTCAGCTATGTCCTTTGTAAAACTTACTGAAACTCGCCAACAAGACAAAGAATAAACAAAGAAAAATAGAAAAATAAGAAGAAAAGTTGGTATTCACCTTTAAAACAAGGGTAGCAGTTATTAAAATACATATTATATTTTCAACAGTCAAAACCAAACTTATAATTGCCTAGAATAGCAGATTCCGTCCCCATGTTACAACTGTAGGTAGGCATGTAACCGTTATCTTTGAGCGGTGGACATTTTGACTGAAAAAAGATGGAATGGAATTGAAGTACAAAATGGAATTAATTCATGCATAGTTGTGACAATTTTTAAATAGTACTTGAGTTGTAAAATTCATGAATAATGAATACCGTGGCGTAAGACTACAAATAGATCACGACGCGATATTTAGGTCACTTGTGCACATATGTAAACCATATTAAGGGCATTTAACAATGGCGCACGCTGCGCGCTCGCCATTTGTAAATGCCCATAATAAAGATGCAGTTGCTCATATTTTAGCTAGTACTTGGATTTCTCATTTACATTCATGAAGAAAACACAACGGAAATCATGCAAATGAAGGAGTTTGTATATCTGATACAAAATTCCGCAACCTCGTACCCAGGCTATTTTCTCTCACATTCTGGTGCCATGAAAATTCTGCTGATTTGTACAAACATTAAGTACTTATATAATCATTCATGTATTTAAAATTATTGAAGAATGTATAAACGTTTATCGAGACAAATCACAACTGACAATCTATATCTCACACAACACGGCCACTCATGATATATATGTATTACAGTTCATTATTTCAGTTATACCGTTGACGTATTGAATTCACCGCTGTCCAACAATTCGGGAGGTTTTATAGCAGAAATAATAGAACACGCCCATAAAAAACTACAGCAACCATGCAACTTACAGAATTAACTGCAGGAGCCAACAATGAGGCGGATATTGTCACACCCACCAGAGAAGCAGTGTTACCACCCAACACAGATAACGCAACAGCAGCACCTGATGGTAACGCGATACAAACACCAACTCACAAACCACGAGTCATACCCCTACACCAATAAATATGATATTGCGATGTCATACATAACGGAATTAAGATATGGATTGCAATATGTTATTCAGTTGACTTCTGAAATAAATTATGACTGGCACATTTTATCTCAACACTTTTTAATAGTTTTAATTGTTAAATGGAAATAATATTAGAAAATGTACTCTATGATACATGGTTTTAGATGATCATAATTTTGAGATGGCTTTTGTTCACTTGCACGGGCCAACGCAATTGAAAGGAACGATCACTACTCATGTCTCACCTGCTTGTCATTTCATTTGTAGGCCAAATACGCTTCGTGTTATCCCATGATGCACCGTTTACACCAAACGGTCCACAAATTAAACCGAACAGAAATCCTAACTAAGTTGCAACTGATCAGCTTTTTTGTGAATTGTTGTTTGCAAGCTAGTATCTAAATTGTCAAGTTTGTAAACGTTTAACAACAAAATAAACTAAATGCAAACTTTACCAACAACTACTGAAAGAAATAAACCGCAGAGTTCAGTTTTAAGTGCTGTATTTCTCAAGCTCTTGTTCTTTATAACTGTACCAAATGTTCCACCAAGAATTGGACCCTATTGAAAAATATCTTATTTGCAATGAACATATAGTTAAGACATACGTTCGAGTGAAAATTTTTACAAAATGAAAGATACGCAATTTGAGATCCAAAACAGCATTCACTTGCATGAATTCATCACATACCATAATACATACCATAAGTGGTGATATTAATATACCGGTGACCATCACCACAGTATTGTCTTCAGCTAAACCAACTGCAGCTATCACACTGTAATGAGAAAACAGAATAACAGATAGAATATGTACACAAAGTGCTGTCATTGCTAAGTTGACATTTATAATTATATCGTACTGATAAAAAGACTATAAATTTTCACCTGGCTAACACTGTAAACATCACAAAATCAAACGTTAAATGTGCTTGCATTCTTACACCTTCCACAACCTAAACATGTATGTATATAATAAAACAAAATTAGTAGTGCAAAATTTTCGCACCAAGAAAAAAAATGAGATAGAAACTGAAATTCGTCACAGACTTCACACTCACTTGTTCTACTGTCAATCTTGATTTTATCGACTTTTTGAACTGGTCTTTTACAGATTCGTTTTCACTATAAATATTTTACATTTTAATGCCACAGTAATTGTTAGTTCAGTTTTACAAGAAAGTAACTTGTCAAATGCAAATATTTAAACTCACAAACTAAGTAATGGTTCAGTTTCATATTCTGTAGTGATAGTACTTTCAAATTTTGAAGCCCTTTTTCTTTTGTTTCCTTGAGGTTGAATGTGGACAGATGTGGGAATGATGCTAAAACATAGAGTCACTTAAAATGATGACATCAACAATGAGAAGGAGATGAGTGAATCTTAGAAAAGAGGGGTGAGGGTCAGACTGAGAACAGAATTTAGATGGGATGGTGCTAATTGATTATTATACAATGGTGTTTTTAAAATTAAAGAGCATAAATTATGCAAGTTAATGTTGCATCTTGGGTATGTTGGTTTTTTAGAAGGGATAGGGGATGGATGGATATTTTCCAGGGAAGGAAAAGTAAAAAAGGTGTGAGGTAAACCCTTGTCCTTTTGTTTTCTTGAGGTTGAATGTGGGCAGATGTGGGAATGATGCTAAGACGTAAAATCACTTAAAATGATGATTGCAGCAAGGGGGTAAATTCTCCAAGGTGATAGACACTCAATGTGCCACCAATTCTAAATAAAACTAAAAGTTCCAGAAAACAATACCTTACTGATGATTTTGGTCTCTTTCCAATACCAACATATGTTAATCTCTCCAAAATGTTTTCAACTCTTTCACCAGTCTTCTCTAAGAATACCACCTAAAAGATTAGGGTAGGTTTAGAATTGGTAGTAGGATTGTGTTTTGACACAAAAGGACTAGCTTACGATTTTCCACCAGGATTTTGTAGATGATTCGTTGCAACTTAACATACTTGTACCTGATGAAACTGCTTGTCGTTTGTGACTGTCCACGAATCACCTTGAACATTTAGTGATCTCAGTTCATTTTGTAGGACCTTTACATAAGAATAAACAAGACAGTTGATAGACTTGATATGAGTAGCTAGATTAATCTATTTAGTCACAATGCGTCATGGGGAGAGCGCTGGCCCTCATCAATATAATTGGGTTCATGTTTAGCAGGTGATGATCAGCCCCATTTGGGTTAGTACAATGACCAGATCCGCTCCTCCTGGTCCCAGCAACAGGTCCATCATAGAGACTCATGCAGATTTGACTTCCACTACCACATGCACAACTGCTACCATTAAGAGCCATTAACCAATCAAAAGCGTTTGATAATATATCCGATTAACCAATCAGATCCGTACTATAAGTCCGTGAAAGAGAGTGGTAGTGAGCCAGTGGAAGTCTGAACCTCTCTAATGGACAACCACGCCGGAAGGACTAAACAGCGTAGCCCCGAAGGGTAAAGCGGGATCCAAAAAACATCTGAGTAAAAACTGAAAAGACCGGAAACCCATTCCTAGAATTCCATGATACACTGGCAATGTACAGTATTTGTGGTTCATGCAGGTACGCAAAGTAAGAGTTCATAAGTCATTGCGGTGTACATGATGAAGTCCGGAATACGGTATGATGTAAAATCCAAAGAAAACAGTTTGGAATACATACATACATAGGGCATGCATTTATACAGCACCTTTTTATACGAAATTAGTTGTAATTTCTGCGATTATGCAAAACAAATTATACAAATTAAACGGAGTAACAGTAATCAAATGCTACTGCATGATATTCATAACGTATTTCACAAATCCGTATACGAGTATTAAATACCTCGGCCAAATTCAGGGGACCAGTAAACATTTCCACATCATCTGCAGTCTGATTTGCCTCACTAGTATCACCAGTTGTAATCTGGCCTAAGTTGGTCTAAGTCGGGTAAAGCCTGCCTAAAGTATGTCAAAGTCGTTGTAAGGTGGGTTAGTGGGGTAAAGAAAGTTGAACAGCATGCCAAAGCAGTTGTAATCCGGCCTAAGTTGGTCTAAGTCGGGTAAAGCCTGCCTAAAGTATGTCAAAGTCGTTGTAAGGTGGGTTAAGTTGGGTAAAGAAAGTTGAACAGCATGCCAAAGCAGTTGTAATCAGGCCTAAGTTGGTCTAAGTCGAGTTAAGCCTGCCTAAAGTATGTCAAAGTCGTTGTAAGGTGGGTTAAGTCGGGTAAAGAAAGTTGAACAGCATGCCCAAGCAGTTGTAACGCAATGCACCGTAATGGCTGCAGAATAAGATAGTATATACGGATCCATTATAAGATAATATATACGGATCCATTATATCCCTGCAAGACTAAGTACTTACCAATACAAGCATGTAAGCAGGTCATACAGAACGCTGGCGCATAAAAAATCGCGTGCTCTCGTGGGAAAATACTATTTCGCTGAACTCAGAATGACATTTCGTCAAAACTTTTTTCTTCAAGATTGGTTTAGAAACAAACTTGGAGTAGGGTTAGGTTAGGAATAGGGTTGGGGTTAGGATTAGGGTTAGAGTTGGTGTTTGGAATAGGGTTAGTGTTAGTAATTCAGTTGCTTGGTTACGTTTTGTCACTTTGAGGCCAGCGAAATAACATCTTCCGCTCTCGTGTGTGCTTCGCACTGAGCTGTATAATAACTGGAGGACCTGCTCCTATACTTCGTTCAGTCAAGCAAGTGAAGCCAAAAACATGGCGGATTTTGAGTGAAAATGACGCCATTTCCATGACTACTGGTCCCTAAATTCATGGTAATTGCCACTGAACAAGGCTAAAAAATGAGCCCGCCGAAGTTTTCACCCCCCCCCTGGTTTTTATAAAAATATTTCGGCTTTTTGAAAGTGAATCCTTGTTGTTTTGATATTTTTGACATATTTTTTCGACTGTTGACAATTTGTTCCTGAGGATGTGAAAGTCGTACAAGTTATTTTCGTCCGTGAAAGACAACAAACAACTATTAAAACCTCCCAAAATGTGGACAAAAACGATATTCCAAGCCGGGTAAACAGCAGTCTATAAACTGCCTGAAACATGCAGTCAACTCTAAACAGGTAAACATTTTAAAATTCACATTTTTATTTTAGTATTTCATGAAAAAATGTTAGGAATAAATGGTAAAATGTACTCTATTTTTTAGAAAATAAGCCACAAGTGTTTATAATGTGGTTGTAGTCTTGTAGATGAACCTTTTTGTATTTACTGTATTAACTTTATGCAATAATTCCATCCCTCGCAATATCGAGTTGCACAGTACATGTATATGAATTAAGAGATGAAACTATGATGTGCTGGTGTATTAAAGAGGAAATTAAGGTTTTATATATTTGGCCAAGGGTTTTGTTATGCATGAACTTGTGGTGGACTGAACCATCCCCAGAGAAACGAAAAACCAATTTCATATTATTCTGACACTGCACTAGACCAACAAAAAATTCGTTGACTCGAGCGGGATTTGAACTCGCATCTTCGGGTATCTAAACCGAAGATGCGAGTTCAAATCCCGCTCGAGCGAACGAATTTAATTTCGTTGGCTCGAAATGCTTGAATAATATGAAAGTAGATTAGAAATACTCGAAAACTGCAGGTTTTGGGAAGTGCAAACAAGCGGATTTGAACTTTGTATAATTTATCCTAATTATTTATCTTGTTACAAAAGTAGTGCCCGAACCCGGGCAACGGAACTGAACGATATCGTGCCACAGAATACGGCCTAATAGCACTTACGCAGGAAACAATGGAGATGGAGTTCTGTATAGTATTCTGAGTCATGAGGTTTCATGGTTTGATGGCATGCAACATGTACGCACTGCGTACCTATTTTTTAAGCTATTTACAACATTCGCGTCCGTGTTGTATCGGATATACGCACTCTAATACGTGTTTTAAAAACATTAGATATGTAGAAATGGTGACCACTGAAAAGCCCATAAACGTTTGTCAGTTATAAAACCGCGCTCGAGTGTGAAGAGAGCATTGAATAATAATAACACGAGAGAGCACTGCGAGTAACGATTTGCTTGGTTTCTTGACTTGACTGTTGGTAAAAATGTAAGAATGTTCTTGTAAATTCAAAGCAAATAAAATAAACAAAAATTAGCAAGTATTTTGAACTTACTGGTATAATAGTTCGCAAAATTTATGTTTTTACTGTTTGTAATTTGATACTTTCGCCACACCCCCTCGGGCAATCAATTTTGGACGAGGCACATGACCAGCCGATACCAGGGTCTTTCCTAAAGACCCTGGGAACGAGGTTGCTGCGCTAGCTGAAGCAGTAAGACCGAATACTGGAGAAGTATCTTCGACTGAAGCTCTGCCTTCGTTCGATCATCATATAAGCAAGTAACTCCTTAAGCATTGAATCTAATTCCCATTGACCTTTTAAAATTTATTTTTAAGTTGTATTAATGTTTCTATACAAATTTAGCACGAAGCCTCGATTTGGCGTTATTGTTCTTCACGAACTACAGCGTTTTTATTAAAAGCAGTTAAACAACGTGATATGTCACTCGCGCTATATTAAATTATAGTCTTTTCCGAGTTTGTTTGTCCGAGTCCTTGTTATTTGATACACGTGGAATGCCACGTGTTTTGAGAGTCGGAAAGGTGGATTATATAATAACTACAGTGAAACACGCAATTTGATTGGTTAATAGCCGTACAGGATCAGGCTATCCTGCACGAGGAATTAAAATGTCTTCGCGGGATTCACAAAATGTCATTGTTTCACTGTAGTTATTTTATAAAACAATTACCAAATGGTTTTCCAAGCAGGATAGCGTGATCCATGCACTTGGGATGTTGCTCGACTTTCGGAAAGCGTAAAAATACACTCGCCTGCGGCTCGAGTATTTTTACGCTTTCCGAAAGTCTCGCGACATCCCTCGTGCATGGATCACGCAATCCTGCACGGAAAACCATTCGGTATTCCTTTATTCGGAAATGATCCGTTTAAAAACTGAACACAATATTCATTGTACACTGTACTTTCAGTCTTCGCACAGTTCGCAGAGTACGTGTTTGAATAATCAGTAGATGGCTGAACTACAGACGAATAATGTTCTTGTTTTTTGGATCAGTTACGTGATATGTGCGTGTTTTTGGATCGATCAGTAGGTAGGTAGGCAAAACTTTATTTAACTACGCTAACCCCTACAGCAAAAGCTGATTTCCAAGGGGGGCGTAGATTTAAATAGTTAAAAAAATACAATTAATACAAATTATGGTCATGCATTACATTAGTTAACAACAATTACGATACATTTACAAATACAACTAGTATATAATTATTTACATATTAAATTAATATCAGTACTATGTAATATTCTTATTAACGTAATTAATTAATAATTAATTAATTGGCCAGGTGTCGTATACATGAATTAAACGAAGCAAGAGAATGTTTGTTTCTTGCTTCAGTAACGTTTTCCGGCTTCGGCTATGGCTGACTTTGGCCTTTAGGATGTAGTGTGACGCATTCCTTTATCGGCTGTAATATTGTTGGTATCTTCCTTTGATAAGAGTGTCTTTAAATCTCTCAAAAGTTTCTGCAAATATAGAGTTCATTTATAAGCTAACCGACTTGGTTATATCCGTTCCCTTCTTTCCGACCTTATATCTTTATTAATGGTATAATGCATGCAGTTTATTTAAACAGACAAATCGGTTGGTATAGCCGAATTCAACCGAAATCCTCTTCTGCAATTTTATACAGCTTTTTCATACAGCTTTTTCAGCATTTTACCTAACACCGCGGAAAAACGTCTGCTCATGCGTCAACATTACTGAAATCTATATTGCGAACGTGATGTCAAGAAATGTCAAGTGTTCCGAATGTTGTCAAAAACTCAAAATGGAAGCCTCTTCGATGTTTTGCCTTTTCTATGAAAATGCAAGCGGAATAATGAACGTGACAACCTAAAAACTAGAAATAACAAGACGCCTGCTCAGGCGTTCACACTGGCTTGAAAATAACGAGATACGTGCTATGGTGCAAAAGGCAGGAATACAAATCTTAAACCGCAAGCAAATTTTATGGACACTGCGGTGTTAGTTTAAATTTAAATTAAGTTTAAATTAATCTAAAACAGTAAAAACATCCGATGGTGCACTAATGTAAACGGCGTAATTTTTGCGTTTGATATGGGAGTTTGAATTTTGAATCATGGCGTTTGATTAGGCGTATTTAATCTGCGGATGTAAATTAAGCCAATACAGTTGTATATAGTTGCCGTATAAGTTTGAGTGCGACTAAATAATAGGATACAAGAGATACACCATGGCTGTCCAATATAGCGTACTATCATGATGAATTGAAAGCTGTGTTTAATTGAACTTTAATTTCAGCGTATTAAAAATTTTAAAAACACATTGAACGTACCGTTTATCGGGTACCCATCTACCCGGTACCCATTTGCCCGGTACCCATCTACCGGTACCCGGTACCCACCTAGCCAATACCCATCTACCCGGTGCCCATCTAGCCGATACCCATCTACCCGGTACCTACCTACCTACCTGGTACCCATCTACCCGGTATCCGGTACCCGTCTTTTCTACTTAGTTTATATGCAAATAGTGCATTTTAATATGCGTACTCGATCAGGTATTTGTGAATGCATGCTTTTTACGTGTACTCGGTCAAAAGTAAACGGCTGTACGCTTTCTAAGCGTACTCGATCAAAACTTGTAAACGGCTGTACGCTTATTTTGTGTGCTCAATCTAGTTTGTATTCAAAATCTAGTCATTTATCACATGTAACTATAAAACTATTAATCTTTTAACTGATTCCATCGGAATCAAAATACTAGTCTACATGCGGCGCCGGGTAGTTTATATTCAAAATATCCATCACATGTATCGATCTATAAAACTATCACTTTATAAGTCTTATAACCATCGGAATCGAAATACTAGACTGCATGCGACAGCCGGGCAGTGTGCCCGGCACTCGGCACTCGCCTATATATATAAGCGGCTGCTAAAGTGTTAAAAGACTTAAAAATATTCTCTTAAAAAAAACCTACCCCACACACAACCCTAACTACTAATCCTAAGACCTAACCCTAAAATCAAACTCAAAAGAAGTTAAAAAAAATTAAATTTCAAAGGAAAATTGTGGCGTATGCCCTATATGGGATTTGAACTCGACTAGAACCACGCTTCGAAAGCGGCGCCTAAACCACTAGTCACTATACGCCACAAAGTAGCTCGCTCCACTAACTGGTATTAAATATATGAAGTTTTGATGCGAATGCGAATACGCTGAATACGATATTTTGCAAATCCTTTAGCTCGAGTAAACGCTTAGCAAGCGTCTTGTCTATTCTACAATTGTATTTCTACAACGTCAACGTCAATTAATCACAATCAAGATAAAAACAAAGTTCAGTACTTTGACCAACTTACATTTGGGAACTGGGCTCCACCATCTGTGTTTAGTAAATCCTGTACGAATATAATGTATAATAGCATAGTTGCCCGGGTTTCTTTTGTTTCAACAGGGACGTTTAATCACGCATCGCCCGCTGTAGCGGGCGATTAGTTCTAATCGCCCGCTAGAGCGGGCGATTAGAACTAATCGCCCGTTACCAAGGGTCACACCTTTGTCTCCCTGACGACTACGCATTAGGCAAGTGCCTCACGCACATAATCGTGCAAGGAACAGCAGCGGTTAGCTCAGAGCCGTCAATAGTCTATCATCCGATCCCCGAGTTGCCGCATCATTTAAATTATGCACGTGCAGTCTTCAAATTTATACTAATATATTTAGCGTTGTTGTTGTGGTACGTTAAATGATAGATTGCGCATGCGTAACCGATTAAAGCGTAAAAAGTGCGCATGTGCAACAAGCTTTTACATCCCACAAGCAATGAAGCAAATGTTTTAGCTTAAATACGCTGATTCCAAGTAGGGCATGTTTGTCCATTTTTAAATGGGAGCGAAACTATGCTATTACAAACTAATAGCATGGCTTTTCGGGAGATTAGTGATTAAATGACCCCTTACCCTCGGCAGGTTTGCGGAATTCCCTCGGGCTTCGCCCTCGGGAATTCCGCAAACCTGCCTCGGGTTACGGGGCCATTTAATCACTAATCTCCCTCAAGCCATGCTATTACTTATAATAAACATTTCAAAAACTCATTAATAATTCATGAAGTAAATATCCAATCTTGAGTAAGAAATTAGTCACATCCATATGTCTTTATACCAGCTAAAGAACACTTTAACAAAAGACCATTGTTATGCAAGCTATATAAAGATTTTTATATAAAGATTTTTATATAAAGATTTTTATATAAAGATTTTTATATAAAGATTTGACTTATTATGCAAACGTTTTTGAAGCCATTTAAAAAACTCGCAGGTCGTGTTAAACGACCTAATAAAACACTCCTGCTCGTTTTTTAAATAGTACTTAAAATACTCATTAAAAATTCATGAACCTTGTGGCAAATCATGTCAGCCATAATATGTCACGTGGAGTGACTTTATATCTGATAAAACTCATCTTCATTAGTATTCTTTATATAATTGTTCATCGTAATTAGTATGATTATATAATTGTTCATCCTAATTAGTATTCTTTTGTAGTCGTATTTTAAGCTATTCAAAACACTCGAACTTGCGTTTTATCATATCTAAAACGCTCGGCTGCGCCTCGCGTTTTAAATATGATAAAACACTCCTTCTCGTGTTTTAAATACGGTACTTCAAGTTGTGAAATTCTGGTATTTTATCTGAACATTCCTTGGAATAAATTCTCCTGAAAGTTTTTCAATGTTCACTCGAACACCAAAAAATTCATGACTCATTAATTTATCAGTCATGGTTTGTTTTACCTCAATCAGATGAGAAATCTGTTCAGTCGAGTATTTATTCTAGATAAGTAATTAAAATACATGAAAAAGAGATTAATATTTGAAACATCCTGGCACGGGTAGAATAAGTGTATCATACAATAAGTCAATAAGATAGCACACTATCAGCAACACACTAGACTCACTTTCCAATCGTTCAAAATGGTTTTCGCAAAGTTTTCTGCTGCCTCACTGCCTTTATATGTTTTGTAAGTATCTCTTGCTACCTATAAGAAATGTAATGGACAATTAAATGGACTAAGTGAAGTGGAAAGCTAAGTGAATAATTTGCTATTACGGCCATCATTAAGCGACATATTCGATTAAGCCAAGTGCATGCATGAGAGGTACAGCTAGCGGGAAAATGGAAGTTGAATCTGAAGCGCTCTAATATCTCTCTGGGTCTGCTACGAGAACCTATAGCAATGAAATGGCCTCTGAAAAGTCGCCAAAAAGGCAAAATGTGATGTCTGTGTGATCTGAAAGGCTCGGTTTTTAATAATTTCTGTCGCCAATTATCTTGCACCCATTTGGAATGGACTGAATGTGTAACTAATTATACTGTAGAATAATAATAACCTTTATATCTTCAGTCCAGAATGTCTGTCTAGCTTTAGAAGTGGATGCTTTGGGTGAAACTTCTTTTATCTGTCAATAAAGCACATTTTGTTATTGGTGAGTTTCATTAAGCACCATCCATGCGGCCCAGAAAAGGGTCTGTGACTGGACCAAGCACTATCACGCAGACATTGGTTAATTAAATAGAATTGAGAGATGAAGTTTAATTTTTTTGTTTCTCAAGGTTTTAAGATTTTTAACAAGCATAACTTAAACAATGGAAATAGAAATAAAATAGAAAATTTGCCATTTAAGTAATTTACCTTTAAAACAAGGGTAGCAGTTATAAAAATACAGATTATATTGACAACAGTCAAAACCAAACTTATAATTGCCATAATAGCCGCTTCTCTCCCCATGTCACAACTGTAGGTAGGCATGTAACTGTTGTCTTTCAACGGTGGACATTTTGACTTAAAAAAGATTTGAGAAAATGAAAATACTTTATATATATTATGACAATAAAACTGAAATAGGATATTGATCTACAGTCAAAATTTGTCCATGATGAAGGATATGGAAACATGTGATGCATGTTTTTAGCTAAGTATATTTTTTACCGTCGAGATATTGGATTCACCATTGTCCAGTAATTCTGGTGGCTTTATAGCAGAAATAATGGAATAAGCCCATAACATCCCCTAAATACAAGATAACATTTTAATACTTAAATCGTGGTAATTAATTAAAGAACATAAGTAAATTAGCACTTACAGAATTAACTGCAGGAGACAGCAATGAAGCAGATATTGCCACACCCACCAGTGGACGAATGTTACCACCCAACACAGATAACGCAACAGCAGCACCTGATGGTAACGAAATGCAAACACCAACCCACAAACTACGAGTCATACCCCTAAACCAATAAATGTGATATTGTGATGGCCATACATAACAGTATTAAGATATGGATTGCAATATGTGAATACAAATGTCCTAAGTAGTTGATCACTTTCGAAATAAAACAACTAGAAAGCAAAGTTTCATCTAACTCTTTTCCAATAGTTTTAATGATCTGTGTTCCTTCTTAATTGAGATCTTCAGCGTATACTCTATAGATGCGTGGTTTCATACAGATGACCATTTTATTTATCTTTTATTTTAAAAATTTTCCCCATGTACAATAAATTTATGTGTAGTATATTTACAATAATTGTAAAGTGCGGGCTAGAGACCTACTAGAAATCTTCGTAGACTTTTTATTTAGATCTCTAGTTATGCTAGTTTGTATTATACTATGTAATAAATTATTTACAGTCAATCACAATATTAAAGGAATATATATATATATATATATATATATATATATATATATATATATATATATATATATATATATATATATATATATATATATATATATATATATAGTTTTCGTTTTACCTCAAAAAACCACAACAGTCTGTTTCATCCGTATAGGAATCATGAGTGTATTGTTTGCGTTGTTTTAGAACGATGATTCCTATACGGATGAAACAGACTGTTGTGGTTTTTTGAGGTAAAACGAAAACTATATTACGCTCTATCTATATGGTATTGAGCACTGTTTGTGTTTCGTAAACCAAAATCTTAAGCTATATATATATATATATATATATATATATATATATATATATATATATATATATATATATATATATATATATATATATATATATATATATATATATATATACACCATTCACCTGATGAGTGTGGCAAGCCTAGTTTGCCATACGAAACAAATTTGTCGTGAATAAATGTTTTAAACGAAGTAACTCAAGTTTGTCTTTTATTTGCTCTACTTTTGTATCGAGCACTCTATTCTTATGATTCGACACTCAATATACTTATTGACATTCGCCTATATATATATATATATATATATATATATATATATATATATATATATATATATATATATATATATATATATATATATATATATATATATATATAAACAGTTTTGTTTTTCGTTATAGATAAAAGAGCGCTCAATACTACAAATTATTTAGCAGAGCGAATTAATTTGTTATCTTAAAATGTTTCAATTTCTCGCTACTTTAAGTTTCATGCCACTACGAAACCTAAAGTGAATCTTAATCGGCATGAAACTTAAAGTAGCGAGAAATTGAAACATTTTAAGATAACAAATTATATATATATATATATATATATATATATATATATATATATATATATATATATAAAATTTGTCCATGATGAAGGATATGGAAACATGTGATGCATGTTTTTTTTAGTTTAAGTATATTTTTTACCGTCGAGGTATTGGATTCACAAATTGAAAGAAAGAAAAGAGAGAAAAAGAAGAGAATTGTTCTTATTATAGAAGTGAATACCATTTGGGTTCTTATAAGAATTAGACTATAATATACTATTAATTTTGTCATATATATAGCGGAGTGTTTTATACCACGTTTTTGAGATGGACTTTGCAATATTAAACAAATTTGGCTAACGTTGTTCACATCGTACGCGTTGCCACCCAATTCACAACATTAGATAACTCACATGCATGCCCGCAAGTGCATGTTATACTATTGTACTTACGTTAGCCAAATTGACACTAGCGTAACTCGCTTGCCGGGCCAAACGATGGGACCGGCTAAACGGAGAGTTATGAATTGAAGAGTTATCTCGGAGAGTTATGATTTTGGAGAGTTACGTTCAAACCACACCCACTTTTCCCAACGACCACACCCAATTTCTTTACTCTCCCGATGATTCCTTGAACTAACATGAGAGAGTTATGTTTGACGTAACTCTCTCTCGTTAACATTATGAAGATGTTAGAGAGTTATCATTTTTTATCAATGAAGAGAGTTATGTCCGTCAGTTTTTGGAAAAAAACTTCCACATTAAAGTAAATTATTGTGAATTTACTTTTTTCTCAAGTTTCAGCTTCAACATTTCACGTTAGTAGAAACTAGTAGTACTTTACTACAAACCAAGTGAACGAGTACGAGTAAATAAATTATTACGTGCTCACTTGGATTCAGATACAGCTCTCGTATTGAATAGAACCAGAAAACCTTTTCAATGTAATGCCCTATTGGCTGATCTGGGAAGTATTTCCAAAACCTGAATTGGTGAAAGATTCAATTTTCTTAATTTTTTCAATTTTCTTGCACGTTAAAGCATGCTTCTGGGGGTAGCATCTCATTGTTTTGACCACAGTTAATGACTGTTTGACCGAGTCAAGTTGTACTATTCCCTGTTTGGACGCACGTTATTGACACGCTACAAACTCAAATACCAAAACATGAGATGAAAATCTGAAGAAACAAGCTTTACTAAGGTTTTCTCAAAAAAACTGACATAACTCTCTTCATTGCCACAATCGTGAACGCGGAGAGTTATAAAAAATTATAACTCTCTAACATCTTCATAATGTTAACGAGAGAGAGTTACGTCAAACATAACTCTCTCATGTTAGTTCAAGGAAACATCGGGAGAGTTAAGAAATTGAGTGTGGTCATTGGGAAAAGTGGGCGTGGTTTGGGCGTGGTTCGAACGTAACTCTCCGAAATCATAACTCTCCGAGATAACTCTCCGGTTGGTAGCTCTCCCTTTAGTCATACCTCCAAACGATCAGTTGAAAGGAACGATCAAAACTCGTGCTTCTATTATGTCTTACCTTTTAGTCATTTCCTGTGTAGGCCAGATACCCTTTGTGCTATCCCATGATGCACCATTCACACCAAGCGAACCACAAATAAAACCGAACAGAAATCCTAACAAAGTTACAAATTAGCAATGAAATGGTTACTTGTGGTTGTTCTCAACTCACTAGATACTTAATTGTACAAGTTACAGGAAAAATAATTTGCATGCAAACTGTACCGATTGTTACTGAAAGAATTAAACCGCAGAGTTCAGTTTTCAGTCCTGTATTTCCCAATTTCTTGTTCTTTATAACTGTCCCAAATGTTCCACCAAGAATTGGACCCTATTGAACAATATCATATTCTTATTCAAGCAAAGTACGTAGTACTATGCATATTTGCTGAAACGAAATGACGACGTAAGTTACTAGTGAATAGATATATATTGGAGCGAAAATTTTGACCAAAAAACCCAGATAGATTTAACACAGAATTTATTTGCATGAATTCACCAACACACGAAGCACATACCATAAGTGGTGATATTAATATGCCGGCAACCAATAACACAGCGTTGTCTTCAGCTAAACCAACTGCAGCTATCAAACTGTATTGAGAAATTAATACTGAGATAGAATATTGTGCTGTTCAGTAATCGGCCTATACACAAAGTGCTGTCACTGCATGCAAATGTAAACATGTACAATATAAATATGAGAAATTCTCACCTGGCTAAGACGGTAAACATAACAAAATCAAACGTTAAAAGTGCTTGCATTTCTATACTTTCCACAACCTAAATTAACATGTAATAAAAATTTTTAGAATTAGCAAAAAGCTAAATTTATTACATGCTGTAGACTTACTTGCTCTACTTTCAATCTTGATTTTATTGTTTCTTTGAACTGCAGGGTTTTTGTAGTGAAATTTTCTGATGGAATGAAGCTAAAATATACAATCGCTTAAAATGAAATTTAGTGCAAGAGGGTATAGATCTCCAGGGTGACGTTTCAGAAAACAATACCTTACTGATGTGTTTGGTCTCTCTCCAATACCAATAATGTTTAACCGCCCTTTAATTTCTTTAACTTTTTTACCTTCCATTTCTGAGAATATCACCTAAAATATTAGGGTAGGTTTAGAATTGGTATGGTAGGATTGTGTTTTGACAGAAAAGGCTACAAGGATTTTGTACATGATTTGTTGCACTCATAAATATCTCATATATATGAGATATCTATGCAGTTGCACTACTTAACACATACCTGATGAAACTGCCTGTCGTTTGTGACTATCCACGAAACACCTTGAACATTAAGTGATATCAGCTCATTTTCTAAAACCTTTATATAAGAGTAAACAAGACAGCTGAAAGACTTGATACCAAGTAGAAATTTGTCATGGGTTGTTAGTTGTTTGTAAAATATAAGTGGGGTTTTAAAGAAAACGAACAATTCTGTGCAGTCAGTTAACCAAAATAACTAAGTTCATATCATGTTTAACACTTGATGATCAGCCCCACTTGACTTGGAATAGCGAATTATTTCGCGCGAAGCGACTATTTGCTTTTGTCCTTGAGCTTTCGGATGGAACCATTTGGAACTAATTAGTTTTGGACAAAAGAATAAAGTCGTTCGCGAAAAAAATCGCTAGTGGAAAACCAGCTTAATGTCAGCCTTAATGGGACAACCACCCCGAACGTATAAAGCAGCGCATGCGGACAGGAAAATAAGTCCAATAGGCCGATTACACAACGTACATAGTCTCTTCATGATTTTCGTGATCGCCGATTACCGAATGGTAAAACATGCTCCGAAGAGACCCGAGTGAAAACTGAACAGACTAACTAAATGTGCAATATTTGTGTTTCAGGTACGCGCCCGTAAATCATTGCGGTTCATATAGTTTTAACCTATCAGTACGTGATGAAGTCCGGAATACGGTGTAATGTAAAATCCAAGCAAAACAGTTTGAAATACATGAGTACTAATTTATACAGCGCCTTTTCATCACAAGCGTCAACCTAACCTAGTTTCACTGACAGAGATATACGATGTGTTCTAGATTGGCCAGGAGAATTTTAACCAGGTTGTTTTTAGAGTCTAAACGCGCCAACACGTACAAATTTTACGTTTGAGGTTTTTTATGTAAAATACAGAGTTCAACCAATCAGATGTGTACTAAGTCAGCGAACCTGATAAACCTGGCCCGCACTCCACTTCAACCCTAACCCCAACCCTAACCTTGGGTGAGGGTCAAGAAAACTATTTAAGTTAAATGGCGGGGGATTATCATCCGGCTTCGGTAATACCATCATTTCTTAATTGAAAAATCTGCGGTAATACTCACTGAGTTGAGAATTGGTGACACGGGTGCGTTTGGAGTGTAAATTTATACCGACTGTATTGCTTTATGTAAATGTATGTATTGCTACTTAATCCAAGTTAAGGTTGTTTAAAAGAAAGATATAAGTGCTTTAAAAGGCAAATAAAGTGTAGAAATGTACTTATTACATTAATTTAATTTTGTTTTCTGACGTTGCAGTTGCCAATGTTTGAGTATGGTTGACTGGAAAGTTGGATGTATAATTGCTAAATGGGTTAATATTTCCATAAACTCGACATACACGTTTTGGGGGAACCTACAAAGTCTACAATTTCGGTCGATATTTGGCGACATCTTATCCTATCTTTCACTGCATGAAAATTGGTAAAGAAGGGAAGACTTTTAACTCTTCTAGATCTTGCACTACAGATCATTGTCGATGTAATTTTGAGATTGATATCTGTACCAAGTGTATCTTCTAATTATTTTTATTCTTGTCACTCTTTCAATGTTATTTATCATGCAACTACAATATACGGAGATACAAGGGGCGTCGGTGGCGCAGTCGTCAGAACAAGTAGCCTGCGAACAGGCTCTTTGAATTGATTCAAAGAGAGTTCAAAGAGAGCCTGTTCGCAGGCTACAGAACAAGCGTCTTTCACCTCTGAGTTCGTGGGTTTATTCTCGCTACGGACTCATGCATGTGAAAAGAGTCAGTCAAGGCTCTGTCGAAAGTCGTGGGTTTTCTCCGGGTGCTCCGGTTTCCTCCCACAGGGAAAGTTGACAGGGTGGGTTAGGATAAACACAGTTAAGAAAGTAATATCATAATTGTTATAAACATAAAATAATCTAGACAGTCTGAGTATGTAAACGTATAAAGGTTCAGACACACCGGACGCGATTCGACAACGCGACACGGTTTTTTAGTTTTTGAAAGTTTAACCGAATAAAACAACCAATGAGAGCGAATTTTAAAAGATATGTAGACCAAATAACTCAAAATATTATAACGCTTCTAAACATTTGGAAAACTTAAACTAGGATCAAAAATCGCGTCGTGTTGTCTGAATCGCGTCCGGTGTGTCTGGACCTTAATTCTTGATGTAAAGCGTATTTGATCATATCCACATGTAAATTTGCGCTACAGAAATGCCAATCATAATCGTAATCCTTCTACTTTCGATATTTCAACTGACCATCGTTTTTAAAATCTTTCTTCGATTAATCTATTATCACCATTATCCAAATCATTTTTGAATGTTAAATCTTGAATAGCTTTATGTTCGAGTGTTCGACTATAAAAAGGCGGGGATTTTGTTGGTCTCCGAAGATCGCTCGTAAGGCTATAAGCATCGAAAACCTCTTTACTGACACTGTCAATGATGAAACTATAATGATATAAACAACGACTGCACCGTCTGGAAAGATTCAGTGTTTGCTACTATCAATGATTATATATTTATATCCCCACTAAGTCTATTGAGTATAGGCAAAAGAAGCATTTGGATTACGGCCGATATTATTAATTTAATTAGGCAGAAGATCACCGAACGCAAAAACTTCCTCTGCATGCACCAATATGCATGCACAATATTATTTATTCGAATGAGATGCCACAAAAATCTTTATATTTAAGGAAAGTAAGATCTTTTTTTCAAAAGCAATTCCAAAAGGTTCTGGTCTGTATTCTAAATTAATATTCAAGTCAAGTTTTGGCATCCCACGACTTGAATTCTGATTCTCAAAGCTTTTGGCCAATTCTCGACTTAAATTCTGATTCTCGAACACTTTGGCCGAAACGGCTCGTCATACACGTCGTTGGAGATTAATGACACATCGACCAGTTTTATGTCTTCATTTGGTGCGACTGACGTCTTGCTTATACGGTCACAAGTTTGGTGTCTGCAATCGAGTTGATAAGGGATCTTGCCGGAAAACATTGATAAGGGATCTTGATAACTAAGGGATGTTGAAGAGAAACTCAGCAACTAAATACGTTTTTGGCCTTACCTTTGCTACGGAAGTTACCTATGTTGACCATGACTGCATGAAAGACTTCAGAGGTTGGATGCACTGCCGATGTCTTATTGGCATGAGTATCTAGACTTGATCGATCTTTCTTTTTAAAGTGATTAATGCTACGCTTGTGCATGTGACTGAAGACGCAAACCCGGTTATTGCAAACCCAAACCAGACGTTCCAACATGATCTAGTTGAACTAATTGCGATACGTGCATGTGTTATTAATCAAGTTACTTGCAACCAGAGTATGGAATGTCCGACAAATTAAGATCGGATAGTATTTGCCTTCACTCTTCAGAGAACTTTAAAGCCTGTTTTCCATATGTGATATATAGTCGTAATTTAAATGGCCGTAAAAATAAACTCACGATCTTTCTCAATGGTCGGTTTATAATATTTGATAGTTTTACTTTATACCTGTAAAGCACATATATATACATAAGTATTCTCTAGTTCTAATCACTCCGCGCGTATTTTCAGTTTACTATTTACGATACTCAGTGAGAAAAAACATGGAAAACTGTTTGTGTTAAGTGCCACACAACTCGGTCACTGGCTCGGTCGCTGTGTGGTAGTGTATAACTTGTTCTTGTTAATCTTACTATTCTTGTACACATGCATACTGTAGATTATTGCCTTATTTGTAACAAGAGAAGTTAAGAGACCAAGTTTAATAAACCAAACTATATGGAGTAATAATCAAATGCTATACTGAATGATATTCACATGCAACGTATTCCACAAATCCATATACGGGTAAATACCTCGACCAAATTCAAAGGACCAGCAAGGGATTCTACATCATTACCATTGATTTCATCCTCGTTATTTTGCTCGAATGGTACATGTATAATAAACACACCTGACGCCATTTCAAACATAAGAGTCACAGTGCAAAGTCAGTATAGACTCACTCTAGTTTTTATTATGAGAACCGACGGGAACTGCTCATTATCATATGCCAACTTTACTGATACTCTTTGTGCATGGTCATTGATTTAGAACCTGACATATTTTCCAGTTTATCATTAAAGAACGAAAACTATACTATACACTTTTATTCTGTTTTTGCTATAAAATTATAACTAAAAATGGCCTGCAATTATAAGCAAAAATGAACGATTTTAAAGTAACCTATTTTAATTTTATTATATTTTATTTGTTGCCATGAATCACCCTCACGGTGAGATTCCTAAAATTGCAATCTTTCCCTGTTCATTTAATCTGTTCTTAGCTATTATCTCCCACTAAAAATGCGATTGAAATTGGTAACACTTTCGTAAACTATATACAACTGAGGTTTGCCGTGAAAGATTTTTAATTTCCAGATAAAATTTTCATAAATATATTTTCGATGAAAACCGCAGCTTGACGCCAAGCTCGGACTGTTCTCAGTTGTTTCTAGAATTAAAGGCTTAAAGCGACGTTTTTGTCAAAATGAACGTCACCCGAAAATTTGCATAATTAATTTTGGTGGCATTTTACATCATAGCGCTGGTGTAAGGAAGCAAAAACCTTTAAAGACCTTATGCGTTGAAGATTGTCACAAACTGATACAAACACAGTTTTTAATCCAGTCCCCTCGACAATCTGATGTCCGTATTGACAAAAATGTCACTTGCTTAAGCTCCCTATTGAGTATTTGACAAATGTATCTCACATTGCATATTATATTTGCATTGCGAGTACCAATATGAGTGTATACGTTAATATATAATGTTAATGTTGCGTGACGTAAGCACTTCTAAGTGGAGTTATTGACCATGGTATAACCAATGGAACACGTTAGAATGAGATTTGTTTTATTTTCCTCGAAAAATAAGAAAGAAAGAAATGGTTTGGGTGATCTGTTCTTTCATAATACCGACGGTTCATTTGCCTTCGCGTATCATCGACACATGCTCCAGATTCCGGCATATTTAAATTATTCAAAATAGCGGTTCAACAAGAACACAAGGAAAGTTGACAAGGGTGGGTTGACACAGACCACACAGTTAATAAAGTAATATCAGAATTGTTGTAAAGCCGGATAAAATAGTCTAGGCTAAGTATGTTATTACAGTTGATTTCACGAAACTTTGGCCACGCCAGTTGCGAGGTTGGTTGGAAATTTGGGAACTATAAACACGAGATCATCAAGTTGATTGGAAACCGGCCAATCAAATTCGAAAGTTTCGCATCAAATTATCGAAATTCGTTATGAAATTCCGAACCAAGTTCGCAAGCAAGTTCGCAAATTGCGAACGATTTTGACGGTAAATTTTAAAAACTAAACTTATTGTATTAAACTTATTATAATTTTAAACTTGAAATTATTATTATTATATTATTTATTATTAAATGAATAAGTTTAATACAATAAGTTTAGTTTTTAAAATTTATCGTCAAAATCTTTTGCAATTTGCGAACTTGCTTGCGAACTTGGTTCGGAATTTCATAACGAATTTCGATAATTTGATGCGAAACTTAATTCCGAATTTGATTGGCCGGTTTCCAGTCAACTTGATGATCTTGTGTTTATAGTTCCCAAATTCCCAACCAACCTCGTCCCCAGGGTCTTCTCAACCAATCTCGCAACTGGCGTGGCCAAAGTTTCGTGAAATCAACTGTAAGTAAGCGTAATACTTGATGTAAAACACAGTTGATCATATCCACATGTAAATTTCGCTATAGAAATGCTATTATGCTAGTCGTAATCGTAACATGACGAACTTCCTTTTCTTCCCACAATTTCTGCCCGGCAACAATTTTTTGGCAACTTAATCATATGAAAATAATGAAATATAGTAAAAAAATTTACATATAAACACAGTGACTCAGATCCAGAATAATTCTATAAACAATATATACACTTTAAATCTTGCGTATATTATGATTTATGATGTATTTGCATATACAGGGTGTATAAAAAAAAACTGAACAGATTTGAAATTGCTCTCAATTTCGCAAAACACCTATTTGTGTCCGGTTTTTTATATATATAGCTTCTTTGGGTACTTATAATGTAGAATAATGAAAAAAATTTCTCAAACTCAAATTTTGTGAACCAGGGGGTGTCTCTTTTCCAACAAATTAAAAATGGCTCGCGCACAAAATTTAAAAGTTGTAATCATATTTTGAGTTAATAGATAGAAAATTTGTTGGGTTTTTAATTACTGTACAAAATTTCAGACAATTTGGTTTAGTTTAAGCCTTTAACTATTCATTTTATTCTAAAAAATCAGCCTTTCGCATGCTTAATTAACTGCCTTTACCTAATTTGCATATTGCTGACATATGCAAATTAGGCAAATGCATT